GGGGAGCTAAGTGTCAGCAGGGAGCTGCGCAGTTAGACGGAGGTCTGAAGTTGTTACTTATGCCACGTGACAGAGGGATCAAAACACGCAGGGAGGCCACATGCAAGGTTCCAGGGAGCGCCTCCTGCAGCTGTGCCAGTGAAAATTGGTGAGAAGTTCAAGCCGAATAATAGCAAAGAGAAGAGTTCAGAAAGAAGTTGGGCCTTTTCCTGTTCAAACTTTGAGCTGAATTGTAAGCAACGTCTGGAAGTGGGACAAGGTGGTTCTGTGATGGTAAAGATACATGGACATGGTCACCCCAGTAGAGGAAGGCGATGCTTTGTGAATGGCAGCACTGTCGCTGTTAATGCCAGCATCAGAGTCATCGCCGCTGCCTCAGTGGCGAACCCTCGCTGTGTGCTTGCTGTATAACGGGCACTCTACCCAGTCGTGGTTCCATCTAAGCCCCAGGCCAGGGCCGTGGAAGATGCATTCAGGGATGAGGAAGCCCAAACCACAAGTGAAGGCTGGTTGCTGGTTAAAGTCATACAGCAGGTAGGGAGCTGAGCCAAGTTGCAAACCTGGGTCTGTCTGGATGTGGAGCCCTGCTCCCAATCACTGGGCTACCACGGCACCAACAATTATGTTTTATAGCATGGGTGCTTCACAACTTTTAATGATTCCACTTCAAATTTACTTTTTCAGTGGTGCAAGAACATTTCTCGGGAGAAAGTCTTACTTTGATTTTTTTTTTTTTTTTTTTGATCCTTTCTTAAACTAGTATTGTGCAATGTAAAGCCCTTCACTATCATTCTGGGTGGCCACAGGAGCCACAGCTCCCAGCCAGCCACAGGAGTTAGGCGGGAAGCCACTAATAATTTTCAGTGTGCTGTGTTGCTAACTCATGCTGTTCGGTTTGTTCGCAACAATAATGTATTCATGCGGAAGGTGGCAACTTTTAATATTTTTGGATGAGATTTATATTTTATCTAGAAAAATGAAGGACTAAGAATTTGAAGAGAAACATTTCTGTTGGGCTCCATCGTCATGTGTGTTCCAAAAATGGAATGCTATGTATAAACAGGTTTGTTCTTCTAGTAGTTTCACCTCAGGATGTATTGATTGTGACATCAGCTGTCGGAGGTCGAGAGGTATTTGTGTAATCTGAAGACAATGCCAGTAGCTGTGGCATTCATACTGGCTTGTTGAGTTCAAGGAGAAAGAACTAACTCTAATGGAGGAATTAGAGAGAGCGTTACTACTGAGTTTTAACTGATGTGTTTTAAGAGATTGCTAGGAATTTTCAGGGTAAGAAATATGAAGAAAGGAATTCCAGGAAGGCACACCCTGTGCGAGGTCTGGATCGCCCAGAAATAGCTGACCAGCACCTTTGGCTTTTGGGGTGAGCTCCTGGAAGAGTCCTGTGGCTGGGGACTATGCGGGGTATCCGCCTAACCACTGATCGCACATGGGGGATGGACATGTGCAGAGACAAGAACTCTTGGAAGACCTGGAATTTTTCATTTGACTTAGTCCTTGAGTCAGCGAGCAGCAGCAACTTGTGTTGCCTCACTCTGCACACACACACACACACACACACACACACACACACACACACTTCAACAGGCCATAACCCTGATCTTCCTTATCAGGTACAGGACATAAATGTTGTCAGTGGCCACCTCCTTAGCAAATTAAGCAACTTGACATTACAGTTGAGAAAAATCCTCATCACAAATGCGTACTATACACAGAAATTTAGAAATCAATCCATATGCAACAGTATCGCAGGACAATCCTATGACATTTTTTTTTCTTGTCTCTCATTTTCTTTTATTACCTTTTTTTTTTTTTTACAAACATTTACTTTTAAGAGAGTATAGCAATAACTGATATGACATTAGAAGCAGTACTCATTTAGAAGACCAAAATGACAGGTATTTCAATGATGGCTTTAGTATTACACCTTGCTGTCCTAAGTGTAGTTGCTTAGTTCATAGATAGATAGATAGATATAGATATATATGGATAGATACACAGCTACTTTCTCTTAGCTCATTGAGAAGAAAGGTCTGTACTAATATTGTTTAGACAAAGATATCACCTTGTCCTCTGAACAGCTACTATGAAGATAACAATTTGCAATGTATTAATTATTGTAACTACCCTACTAAACTTTTTGAAATTATGTCATTGCTATTTTATCTTTTTTTCTCATTAAAATGAAAAAAATTAAAAAGTCACAGAAAATGACACCCCCCCCCGTACTGTACACGTATTGCAGACTAACACTTTCTTCTGAGTGCAGCAGTAATTCTCAGGCATTCCTCTCTCCTGTGTTTTTCAACAGTCCCTCCACAAATCATGAACATCTCCTCAGACGTCACTGTGAATGAGGGGAGTAGCGTGACCCTGCTGTGCCTTGCCATTGGCAGACCAGAGCCGACTGTGACGTGGAGACACCTGTCGGTCAAGGGTAAGAGATTTTCTGCAAGAGTCTGGGAAGGGTTTGGTCCTCATGCGTGGAAAGCGGCAGGCAACAAGCAGCACCACTGTGTGTGTAGTGCAGTTGGTGACTGCAGGAAACTAAGAAGGGGCGGGCACTAGGGGCTGAGTATTCCATTCCAAAAGAAGAATGTCAAGGCATAAATTTCCTGTTATTCTCAGCCTTTGCATGGCCTCAGAAGGCTTTTGTTTTCCAAAGTACAAAGAACTGAGGGAAAGCCAAGTCACTTCCATGAGAACATGATTTCCCACATGGCGATGGTCACGCCTTCTTGTAGTACAGGGCTGGGCAGGAGAAGATGCTTAGGGCTCCGGCCACACGGTCCACGCAGCAAGCATCTTCTCGCCCCGGTGCACTCGGTATTTACGCAGAGCTGCACTCCTTTGGCCTGTACATAAACAGCTAACCTTGAGTGGAAGAAACTGTAGAAATGGTGAGCGCATCTGGCTCTCACTTAGCTGGGTGCTGAATGATTGGCCTTGAAACTTTGGTGACAGTGGTCATCTTCCGCTTGCTCAGAAAGCGACCGAAACGACAGTCGGCTCTATCACCTTGGACAGAAAACTTGCTCCAAGCTGAACTTGATGATATTGGCCAAGAGCCCCTTGATAGATTTGCACTGTTACTAGAAATTATGATTAATTTTTGAAATTATACAAGGAAAAACTGTGCCCTCAGGCATCAGAAAATTCAAGCGTGAAGCCCAGTAAATAGGAAGCTGTGTGCAGCATGCCTGCGTGTAATGGAAATCGTGCACTTTGTAGAGAAAACACGAGACTGAATTTCAGTGACCTTGGGAAGGAGGAGAGCTGCTACGGGTCAAAGCTGCCCGCAGAAGTAAGCGTGCCAGGTGCACACGCGCTCGCTGGCCCAGCGTGCAGTGTGGGCCGCACGTGCCTGAAGCAACGGATGCTCATCCCCTCCCCTTTGGAGCCCACGTGTCCGTGATCAGGGAGTCCACAGCGTGGCTCCGGGTGGCTCAGTGAGCATCTGTGCCCCGCCTCCTTCCTTGCTTCTGGTGACGGCCGGGGGGCTTGGAAATTTCTGAATTTGTAGTTTCATCATCCTGATCTGCCTTCACCTTTGCACGGCAACGTGTGTGTTTGTCTGTGAGTGTGTGTGCATGTGCATGCGTGTGTGCATGTGAATGTGTGTGTGCATGTGAATGTGTGTGCATGTGTGTGTAGGTGCATGTGTGTGTGCTTATGTGTGTGCGTGTGCTTGTGTGTGCGTGTATTGCATGTGCATGTGTGCGTGCAGGTGCATGTGCGTGTGTGTGTGGGTGCGTGTGTGTGTGCATGTGTGTGTCCACATGTCCCCTTTTTGCAAGGACACAAGCCATATTTATTAGGGCCTGGCATGATTACTTCCATTAGGCCTTATTTCAAAATAAAGTCACATTGTGCAGTCCTGGGATTAGAAATTCAAGGTATTACTTGGCAGGAGGATACAATGCAAACTGTAACAGGTTTCATCAAAATTAGAAACATTATTAAGAATAAATGAAAAGTTAAGCAACAGACTTAGAAAACCAACGTATTATACATGTGCCTGACAAAAATCTAGTTTATATGAGGAATTCTTAGAACAAATTCTGAGAACCACCTCAAAATGAGGAAGCATTTGAATTGACAGTTCCAAAATAAAAGTACCAAATAGCAAATAATCACAAAGAAATATAAGCAACATTATTATCAGCAATTAAAGTTAAGCCACAGGACTGGGAGATAGCTGGGACTTCTAAATGCCTACCTGGCAAGCACAAAGTCCTGGGTTCGAGCACTTGTACCACATGCCCTGCCAGCCCCAGAACCCCGGGTGTGGTGGTGCACACCTGTAACCCTAGCGCTGGGGAGGCTGAGACAGGAGGATCACTACGAGTCTGAACTGCACAGTGAGACCCTGTGCCAAATAAATAAATATATAAATAAATATTTTTATAATGACGAATTAAAGGAAATAAATGCAATTAAGCCACAATGAGGTACCATCAGTATAGCCACTGGAAAGAGCAAACTTTAAGACTGACCTCAGGTGTTGCTGAAGCTCTTATTTGTGAATTCTGGGGCTTTGACACAGTATAATCACCGGAAATATTTTGTCATTTTGTTGGAAAGTGGAATATATACTTAGTAATGACCTAGCTAGCAACTGCAGTCCTAGGTATTTCCTCAGAAGAACTGGAGACATACATCCGCAAGTGCATATCGACACAGCTGTTCTTCATGGCCCCGTGTGTGCTAGGCGCACACACGACACAACCCAAGTAAGCACCAGGAAAGAGGTAGATATACGCAAGTGTATTCAGGCAGCAGATCTGCCCTCAGCAGCCGGAACCGCTGATCCACACAGCAAAATTAACGGGTCTCAGAATACGCTAAGAAAAGAAGCCAGCCAAATGCCTGCACAGTGTACACTTCCATTTACCTGAAGATCTAGGTTAGATAAAACTGCTTGAGGGAGAAGCCAAGTCTGTAGCTACCAAGGGTGGGACTTTCAAAGAACTGGCTGGGAAAGAGGCCGAGGGATTTGGTGGTGCGCATGGAAGAGATGCAGAAATAGGATACGATGACAGAAATCATGACTATGTTAGTGTTAAAATTTGTCTAACCTAACAGTAGTGAAACTTCGGTAGATGGGCTGCTAACGTGAGCATGAAACTAAAATATATTATTGCAAATTGAATTTCAGCAGATTATGAAATATAAATGCAGACACATCGGAAATACTGGGCTGTTTTTCACCCAATTTCAGGCATCAATTATCTCACGAGTACCAAAAGAGAGAGAGAGATTAGCGCCTCATCTTTTTCTGTTGTCGTTCATATAAACTGAGAACAGGTATTTTGTTCCTGCCTCATTATAGGAACAGATAATGCTATAAATCTGCTTGACAATATTTACATGAAGAACTCAGATAATAAAATGTAAAATGTCACCACTTTGAAATAATATTTATAAGAATATTAAACTATACATGAGAGACTCTAAAAAATTCAATTTAGTACAAACAGAATGATGGTATAGCTTCCCAAAGACATGAGTCCCGGGGAATTTTGCCTAAAGCCAGGGAGAATTTTGGTTTTACACTGTATACAAAAATATACTTAGCCATCAGACCAATTGTACATATCCAAAAAGTCAGGTGTATTTATAAATGCTTGAAATCCTCAATGTACTTTCTTTTTTATCCTAAATACATAGTTTTGTAAGCCTAGATGTATTGTAAAAGGCAATTTGACTTTGTGTATTTTGAAGCAATTCTTTTTAATGGTAAACTGGTAACATTTAACTTTTAAAAGAAAGTAGATTTATTTATATTCCCAACCTCTTACACAGTGTAATAGCTGTAACTCAATCTTCGAAAAAACCCAGCAAATTCTAAATTTAGCTGGTCTTTGGACTCTTTTCTTTTCTCCCACCTGTGACTTTCTAGCTTTCATTTCTACTATTGTCTTTCGTGTCCCACTGTCAATGACATTTAAATATTTCACCTCAGTGGACTAATTCTGGAAAAGCTCTGTGACCAAGACAGTTTGCAAGTTTAAAATTTTTATCTCCCCAATGGCTACCAATATTTATTTTTAAAGAACCTTCGTCTTGGAGTTAGGAATTTGTTTTAAAGGTTTGGAAAAACGTCCAATGAAACTTGGGCAGGAAACAACATTTTGAGAACATTTTGTAGGTTAGTTCATCACAGAAGAATATGAAATAAAGGTTACAATGACATTTCTTTTGAAATTCCAATAGGAGCACATGGAAGAATTTCACTCACTGGATACGATGTTCCCCAAATGCTAGTGCAGTGTTTGAAAAATATGGCTGAAAATTGGAGGTCTGTATAGGAAGAATGAATGAAACAAGATTTTCGTGTAGGAAAAACTATGTTCTAGAGGTGATTAAAGATTAATGCTTAATAGTAGTCACACAAAGCAACTGAGCACATGCTGTCAAGTTCTAGAAACTAAGCAAATAGTTAAAAGTGAATGAATAAATTTAGCAATGATCACATTACGACGTAATGGTACGAGGCTGTGCTGAGGCAGACTATGAAGTATCTCTGAAATATAAAAAGTAGATGGGGGGAGTGGAGGAATCCTGCAGCCCAAATGGAGGAATTGACCTATTCTTCAAATGAGAGTTGATTTGTGTGTGTGTGTGTGTGTGTGTGTGTGTGTGTGTGTGTGTGTAGCTGGGGATTGAAATCAGAACCCTGTGCTTGCCAGGCAAGCACTTGCTCTACTGAGCTATCTCCCCAGCCCCTAGAATTGCAGGGTTTCAGGTGGAGGCCGTGGGAAATGTTTCAAAGTGACTGGGGATGCGAGGAGAGAGGGGGGCAGTTTGGGAAGCGAGGGCCAGTCCTCGGGGTGTCAGTGCTGCCCAGCATCACCACTTCCCCGGGAACCCTTTGAGGGAAACTTGCTTTTCAGGTGCATTTTCTCATATAAACAAAAGCACCGAAAATCAAACACAGGGTGAAAGTATTAAGGAATATCTTGGGCTTCCTTAATCTGTAGCCTGAGCAGGCAGCTGCACACTTCTGTCCGCAGCTTTTCTCTGTAACGTCGAAAGGAGGCCGGCGTTCCCCAAATCACGTGCTCTGCACCTCACTTCGCAGGAAAGCTGGAGATGGGACGGCACCATAACGAAGCATTGTGAGCGCCTCCGAGAAAAGCACTCCGCTGCAGACATAGCTTGAAGCTGTCTTGAGCATTTGACCACCAAGCCTTTGACAATGTTTCTCTATCTTTAGATTTAAAAGCTATGCTTAATGCTACATAGCAGGTACCAGCTTGTGAAAACATTTCCTTACAGGGATTTGATAGAGAACGTGGCACTGCTTAATCACACTCACACACATCTGTAACACAGGATCTGCATGCAGCTCGGCAAACTGGGGTAAGGGTGGAAACTCACAGCTCACTGCCTTAAAGAGATTTCTGCAGCAAAGAATAGATGCTCTCAAAGCAG